ATGACAATTCCCCTTTCCTCAAAGAAATCTATGCAGTAACCTCTTCTGGGAGCTTCTGGGTTCCAGGGCCCTAACTACTGTGAAATACTGAATTTCAGTGGGAAGTCCATGTGAGAGTAAGATAATAGTGAGAAACTGGAATGGAATCCCTAGGGCAGATCTTCTTTATAAACTCTGAGTTAGCCTCAGGACAACACAAAGTTTTATATACAAGTATGGATATCATCATATCCTCTCCAACCTGCAGCACTAATACTAATATCTTACATTTATTCAAGATTTAGCACTTGACAAACACAGATCAAAGTGCATATAGAACCATATCATCCATCTCTGAAGTAGCTACTGTTAACTGCCCTCTTTTTATAAAAGAGGTAGTTAAGGTTCAGAAACTTAGAAGCCACATAGAAGTCCCCACAGGAAGAGGTAAAACATATTAAAAAATATTGGAGATATTGAAAATAGGCTCTTAGTAATATTGTGATTTGCTATATTTTTATATGCTAAGATTAACATATATTAATGTTAAAGTATTTGCTCTAAAGTCCAATTGTTTATACATGGCCAAATATTACCTATTGTAAAATCACATAGAGTTTAAAGTACTCTATCTGTACTTTAGCAAATCTAAAGTAATCTAACTTTACATAGATTAATTTCTCATAACTGCAAAAGTATTAGAGATACATGCTTTTGGCATTACCTTAAGCTCATCTGACTTTCTCTACTGCAAATTTTCAAATGCACAATTTACTGAGCACTAGTAGTCACTACTAGCTACATGATAATTTACACTTTCTGCTCTTTATTCCCTTTCTCTCCTCCCTAAATTCCTAATCCTCTTCTCTCCCTTTCCTCACCAAAATCACTGTCTTAGGGAAAAAAAACAAAGTGAAGACAAAATTTCATAGCTCATAAAGAAGAGATTAAGTCTCCTGGGAGGCATATGTTCAAGATCTGGCAGGTGAAGGAGACAGAGGCTTATGAATAATGCTTCCCACTCTCACTTTCTCCTCAATTTTTGCAACACCACCTCCCCCCCCCCTTTTGTCTCTTTGCAACTAAAGGAAATTAATTCACATTTGGAAAATTTCTACTGAGAACCTTCTAAAGGGAATACTGAAACACAGACCCTGCCCTCAATGGAAAGAGAGTCCAAGAAGAAGAAAGATTAAATATTTGGTAATAGAAGAATCATCTATGAGAAAAAATAAATTTGTGATTCCCTGAAGAGATAAAACACTCAATATATACCTCTCTAATCTATAAAATAAGGTAAATTAGAATTTTAATTTTTTATTCTGTAACATATACTTAACATCTTACCCAAATAAAGTGTACAACCCAGTACCACTTACTGTATTCACAATGGTGTCAACCATTCTCCGTGTTTTCATCACCCGTCAAGAGACCCCACAGGTAGCTACTCCTCATTCCCTCTCCCCCAAGCCCCTGGTAACCATCATTGTGCCTCTCTCTATGGAGGTGAACAGTCTGGATATTTCATAAGGTAGAGTCACGCGCTAGGCAGCCTTTCATGTTTGGCTTCTTCCTAGCAAAATGACTTCAAGCTCCTCCATGTTGCAGCATAAGCCTTTACGACTGATAATATTCCATTGTATGATATATAACATTTTGCTTATCCAGTCATTCTTTCTGTACTATAAGTAATACTGCTGTGGACACTTGTGTACAAGTTTTGTTTGAACACCTGTTTTCAATTCTTTGGGATCTATAACTAGGAGTAGAACTGTTGGCTCAGATGATAATTATGTTTAACTTACTGCTGAACTGCCAAACTATTTTCCATAGCAGCTGCACCATTTTACACTCTTACCAGCAGTGTATGAGAGTTCTCAATTTCTC